TCGCTCTCCTCTTACAATACATCGTACACTCTTTGTGTATCCACGCTGCACAGTAACAATTTCGCTATGTTTCACAATAGATGGAGCCACTGTAGTAAAAGAAAGGCAACACTCAATGAAATTATAGACAGAATTGAACATTTATAAATAACTAAAAAACAACAAACAAAGAAAGTCTGTTAATTGAATCATTCTTTCCCTACACATTCATGACAAATGTAATCTATGTCACATAATGAATTCTAGGTTTTTTATTGACCACTACGTCATTCATGTATTATTATACGTGTTGGTGAAAAAAAGAAATTTACAAATACCTTAACGAGTTAGTGTTTTTTGTGTTATTTATGTTACTTGTGTTCCAGATATTTCACATTTGAATATTATATGTAATATTTGAAATAACGTAAAGTTGTTACTAGTATGAAGTAACGATACCAACATAGGCTTAACAGTTAGTTAAATAGTTGTTACTAGTATCAAGTAACGATAGGCTTAATAGTTAGCTTAACAAGGTATTTTTTCAGACTTAGTAGTTAGTTTAACAAGGTATTTTATCAGACTTAATAGTCTTTGAATACTCGGAGAGTTACTGAAAAAAACCCTAATAAGAAGTATTACCGTGGACAGACAAACGGACAGCTTTCTCCAACGTTTCCCCCACTCCGTTATCAGCCTGACACAGGTACGTTCCTGAATCTGTCTCCTTAACGTCATTAATCACCAGTGTTCCGTTGTCCAACACTTTCATCTTGTAGCTCCTGGAGACTGGAGTGAAGGAGCCTGAAGGATCTGAAGAATATTGGTAGTTATTGTAAGGTATTCTGTACCGCCATCTAGACAACGTTTTATGAACTATCATTTTAAAATTGCAACAAGAACGTTTATTAAAAGATGGAAGAATATGTTAATTGAACAGAAACAATTTCTAACACTCGTACTAAGAAAGTTAAAATATTCGTTTTAAATCTCTGTACAATCGACGCTGTTTGTATTATGTTATTTATCAATCATCGCTAAATACATTTTATTAATTATTTATTGTGTAACGTGACAGAAATATAAAATTAAAACTTCTATAAAAATAACGGCATTCTTGTAATAACTAACTTTTTATTTTCCAGGTGACTCTAGGAGCAGGATATCCCCCGACAGAACAACCAATCAACGTTCGTGTAGCTAAGATAGCCTGGACCGTGTTCTCTGGTTGTTGTTTCCAGAATGGTGGCGCTGTTCAGGAGGAAACTGGATTTATGATAACTTGAACAACGTTTTAATAACAAGTAAGTAAACTGGATTTATGATATCTTGAACATCGTTTTAATAACAAGTAAGTAAACTGGATTTATGATATCTTGAACATCGTTTTAATAACATGTAAGT